TTCAAGGACCCCATCATATAACTCCCGGGAAGCTTCCTGGTGCCTTTCCTATGGATGAGACGATCCCATGGCAAAACCCAACTGGAACTCCTCATGAGCCCTATCTAGTGGAAGTCCCACGTTTGGATCATCCTAGTATCGCTCCCAGAGTCGGCCCCACAGCAAAACCTGACCGGAATCCTCAAAGGATATCTTCAGCGGAAGTCCAAACCAACACACATTTACTGGCCAGAGACCACAAACATCTCACACACAAATAAGCAATAATGCATGAAGTACATAATCAGACAATGCTAAACGCACAATATCCAACCACAACCTTCCACTAGATGTGGTGGAGCACACAAGGGACTAAACCCACGTTCCAAAGGTTTACCCCACTACAAGAGCAATGCTCCACACGTAAGCTCCAAGCTTAGTCCGTTTCTATCGCGTCCGTGTGAGGAAACCTATATGATCAACACAATGACCATCAAACATATACAAACAATTCATCAATTTCACAATAATATAATTCAACACCATCCCTTAGACCTAATGGCCCACAACATTAAGGTTACCTATCTCAATCACATTGCTTTACAACTTACTCACCCATCCCCAATTATTCACTAACACATCAACTCATCAACTCATCCTACAATTTATTCATACCCAACAACCAATCACTAATTCTCAACCATCACCTTCATGATCACAACCAACCATTTCATCATTTTCCACCAATTTTCACTAAGTTACAAAATTATACATCACCATAGTTTTTATTCGTTCAATCATCATTGTACATCATTACTAGCAACAATTTAGAAAGGAGCAACATCATTAAAAGCCCCCAACCACATCAACCAACCAACACTTAATTAACCAACATTCATACATTTTATGATTTCTAAATTAAACCAATGAAGTTGTGAATACTTACTACCAATGGACTCCCAAGGACCCAAGGAGTGGATTCCAAGCACCAATGCAAGAATTTCAAGCCCTCAAGCCCCCACACAAATCCTAGGTCGAAATATGGAGAGGGAGGAACAACTCTTCACACACTACAACCCACAAGATGCTCTCAAAAGGAAAGTCACTCACAAGATGATGCTTAACAACTTTGTAGTTGAGAGTTCTCCCTAAAAGTGGCTAGAATTTAAGTTGGAAAAATCAAAAGCTTCAAACCCCATTTCCATAGAGAGTGCTCGACGGTGGAGAGAAAGGGAGAAGAGAGAATGTGATGAAATTGTGAAATCTAATTCACTTAAGACTATAGGTGGGTCCCATATGCGAATTAACTTTAATAAATCACCTAATTTAAACCATAAATTCATAACCTACGTATTTTTCTCGTTCACGTCATATTTTTACTTTCTAAAAATACTGATCATAATTTCGCACTTATCGGTACAATTATACCGCAGTATTTTACACTGGTAAAGTCACTATTCATCAAATTGTCCGAAACATACCTATCCACTCGATTTTTCATCCTGAATCCATTTCTGGCATTATTTTTACCATTTGAGACCTTCGACTCAATTTTCATTCCTAAAATTGCGTGTTTGGTAAATTACTATTTTGCCCTTTCTATGTATTTTGGCACTAATTTCCGGATTTTCACTAATCCTACCCTTTTTATCAACATTATCACTTATAAATATATATTTAGAAATACGAGGTGTTATATTCACCCCTCCTTTTAGAAATTTTGTCCGCAAAATTAAATCATATATGTCCGCTAACTCAGGATACAGCCGGAGAATCTCATCCTCCTGCTCCCAAGTAGCCTCCTCAGGTGTGCGGCCTTCCCACTGAATCTTCAACATGGGAATAATTTTACTTCTAAGCCTCTTTTTGCTGCGGTCCAGTATCTCAATGGGACCAATGGGAGTTTTTAAGTTCTCCCAGATTTCAATATTATCCGGTATCACCACGTGTAATTCGTCCGGAACATACCGCCGCAACTGCGACACATGGAAGACATCATGTAAATTGGACAATTGAGAGGGTAAAGCAAGCTGATAGGCCACCAATCCTACTCTTTTCATAATCTGATACGGCCCAATGAAACAAGGACTCAGCTTCCTCACACCCAACGCACGGCAAACACCCGTGACCGGAGATAACCGTACAAATACATAGTCGCCTTCTTCAAACTCTAGCGGTCTGTGCTTATTATCATAATAGCTTTTCTGTCGATTCTGTTCCTGTTTCAATTTTTCTCTGATCATTTCAATTTGCACTGTTGTTTCCTGCACAAAATCCGGACCAAACCTTTCTTTATCACCTACCTCAGTCCAACAAGTAGGAGTACGACATCTCCGTCCATACAATGCCTCATACGGTGCCATGCCCAGACTAGAATGAAAATTGTTATTATACGAAAATTCCACCAATGATAAATATTTGTCCCAAGCAGTACCCTGTTCCAGTGTGCAAGCTCTCAGCATATCCTCAAGTGTTCGTATGGTCCTTTTCGTCTGACTATCAGTTTGCGAGTGATACGCAGTGCTCAGCCCGAGCTGAGTGCCAAAAGCCTACTGCAAAGCTCCCCAAAAGCGTGAAGTAAACTTTGGGTCGCGATCACTAATAATACTAATCGGTATCCCGTGGAGCCTCACAATCTCATTTACATACAACTTTGCTAACCTCTCCGTGGTGAAATCCACTCGTACTGGCAGAAAATGTGCTGACTTTGTAAGTCTATCTACAATAACCCAAATTGAATCGTAAACAGCCTAGGTCCGAGGCAACCCAACAACAAAATCCATAGAGATGCTCTCCCATTTCCACTCTGGTATATCCAGTGGCTGAAGTAAAAAAGCCGGTTTCTGATGTTCTATTTTTACTTTCTGACAAATTAAGCACCTTAATACATACTCAGCAACATCCTTCTTCATCCCCGGCCACCAGAATTTCTCTTTTAAATCCTGATACATTTTTGTGGCACCTGGGTGTATAGCATACTGACCCTTATGGGCCTCAACCATTACCTCCTATGCTAACTCTTTGGGCACAACAATCGTGCCCTGATACATTAGTAATCCCTGTTCATTCAAAGACATTCCACTCTGCCCTTTCAAATACTTGATACTATCGTTCTGTATATGAGTTTCTCTAATTTTCTCGTGTAACACATTTTCAATTCGTAACCACTCAACTTCACCCATCCTACCAGCAAAGAAATTCGTTAATTTTAAATCACGGAATTGCTTAATTACTTCATTATCCCACAACATCAGCTGGGACACGCTGACAGACTTCCTACTCTAGGCATCCACTACCACATTAGTTTTACCCGGATGGTATTTCAATTCGAAATCATAATCCTTCAAGAATTCCACCCATCTCCGCTGTCTCATATTCAACTTTTTTTGATCAAACAAATACTTCAAACTTTTGTAATCACTAAACATAGCAAATTTTATCCCATACAAAAAATGCCTCCAGATTTTTAAGGCAAACACAATAGCCGCAAGCTCCAAGTCGTGCATCGAATAATTTTTCTCATGAGGCTTCAATTGTCTAGAAGCATAAGCAACCACTCTCCCCTCTTGCATCAACACACTCCCCAAACCTTTCTTGGAAGCATCACAGTATAATACAAACTCACCTTCCGGATCGGGAAGAGTCAACACAGGAGCAGTAGTCAACTTCTCTTTAAGAGCCAGAAAACATTTCTCACATTTCTCACATTTCTGGGTCCACACAAAAGGAGTGTCCTTTCGTGTCAATCGGGTCAACGATAGTACCATTGTGGAAAACCCCTCTATAAATCTACGATAATAACCCGCAAGACCCAGAAAGCTCTGGATCTCAGTCACCGTCTTCGGTTGTTCCCAGTCAATTACGGCATCAATTTTGTTTGGATCCACTGCAACACCCCTAGCAGAAATAACATGACCAAGAAATTGCACCTCAGATAACCAAAATTCACACTTAGATGGCTTCGCAAATAACTTTTTATTCTTTAATATCTGCAACACAGTCCTCAGATGCTCGGTATGCTTCTCTTCGCTTTTAGAGTAAATTAAAATGTCATCAATGAACACAATTACAAATTGGTCCAAATACGATTTAAAAATGCGATTCATATAGTCCATGAACAAAGCAGGGGCATTAGTAAGCCCAAAAGGAATCACCTGATACTCGTAGTGTCGGTATCTAGAACGGAATGCCGTTTTAGGCACATCCTCCGGCTTAATCCGAATCTGGTGGTATCCGGACCGGAGATCTATCTTAGAAAATACACAGGCACCCCTCAACTGATCCAGCAAATCATCAATACGCGGCAATGGGTACCTGTTCTTAACCGTGACCTTATTCAACTGCCGGTAGTCAGTACATAATTTCATGCTTCCATCCTTCTTTTTCACAAATATAATCGGTGCTCCCCACGGAGACACACTCGGTCTGATAAAATCCTTTGCAGATAGCTCCTCAATATGTTTCTTCAACTCAGCCAACTCCAGTGGCGACATCTGGTATGGACTCAAAGAGATAGGCCCCACACCAGACAACAATTCAATAGAGAACTCAATCTCTCTCAGGTGGGAATTCCAGTATCTCATCAAGAAATACATCCATAAATTCATTAACCACCGGAATAATAGAAATCTCTATCTCCTTATCACCCACCAATCTACCCAAGAAAACATAACCTAGATCACCAGCCTTCAAGGCTTTAATTGTTTGACAGACAGACAAAAAAGGAACTCTGAGTATGTATGATTGTATTTTGTGTTGCATAGCTATCTGTGAACTATTTCTGATTAATGTATATGTGATTCTTCAGTGTGAGTCTGATCAACTCATTCATTTGTGTTACATGTACAGATATCATGAGTAGGGCACGAGGCCGCCGTGGAACACGGGGTGCAGGTCCTCAGCCGCCTGATCCGGTTGCTGCAGTTCTTAATGCTTTGCAAGCGGAGATGGCTGCCAATAGAACTATGATTGAAAACCTGATGAAGAACAATTAGGATATGTTGTGTGCCTTTATGACTGAGATGAGGGCTAATAGAGTTCGTCATCGGAGGGATGATTCTCCTCTGCATACAGCTACGGTGACTCCTCCACCTACGCCGTTGCTTGGTTGAACCGAGAGCTGCTCGGGAATATCTTTTCAGAGAGCAAGAGTGCAGAGTAATAATCAGGATTGCCAACAGGAGCAATCTACTCTGACTAAGAGCAACCCTCTTCAACTATACGCAAGCGTACATGTCAAGCAATATAGGGTATTGTAGCCCCAGATTTATCGTCCTCAGGGAGCAGTTGTGAAGTAAGAAGCGCTAAAGGAAACTTAATTTGTAAAATGGAGCAATAAAAGAAAGTATTATTCTCAGCTAAGCTTCACAAAGAGCAATCTCTGGGCAGCTAGTTAAACAATGTTAACCATTCTGAACCAGATGAGAGCAGTGAATGACTTAGCACGGTCATCGAATAAAAAGGCATCAATTTAAGTAACTTCTAGAGCAGTCAACGAAATGAAAGTAAGAGCATCAGCTGGTAAAACACAGTTCAGTTATCGTGAGGAAAAGGTTGTGATAGAAGTTTGAGTTAAGATTAATTTCAGAAAAAGTCAAGTAGGTGTTACGGGTTCCATGTTTTCATCCCTTTGGTTAACCCTGCTTGGTAGCATATTTTACAAGTGGATTTTGCTCCTTCCCTTGTTTTGCTATAGGTAAGCAGAGGGTAAGGCCTTACTCTCCACGTTACTCCATAGTACTTAGAGTTACATGCAAGGAAACCATGCTGCCTTCTCAAAAGAGCATAGATTCACATGGCAGTGCTCCCCATTCCAGGTGTGTCTCCCTCATTTCTTCAGGCTAAACTACCCCAGGATCTTGAGAATGCTCCACACGCCCTTGTCAGTGTTTCATCAACCGAGTGTTCCCGGGATGAGGTTGCCAGCCCAAAGGGTTTCACAAAATCAATTAATTAAACCAAAGAGCAACTCAAAATTCATTTATAAAATATGTGTTCCTTACAAAGTTATCCTGAGACAAAAGGGATTACTTCTATGGAACCCTCACCTACTTAGAGGAAGTTAGCTCCTAGTGAGCATTTTTACAAAAAGAAAAAAAAGAGATGACGAGTCCTAGGATGGGCGCTGATGATTTCCTTTATGAGGATTGCTTGTTCCTTTTATAGGGTTCTTCATTTGATCTTCATTGTTCCTTTCATCAAGGGTCGTGCTTTGTTTAAATCCTTTCCAATGGTAGCTTTGCTTCTTGCCAGCTCAGCTCCGAATAGAAATCCTCTCCAATGGTAGCCTTACTTTTTGCCAGCTTGGCCTTAAATGGAAGTGGTCCCCCTTGCTTTTGGCTCCCTTTGTGAGTGGGAGTATCGGATTCAGGGAGGCACCTCCACTCCTTCTGCTGCAGCTGACGTGGCGGCTTTTGATTGCTCAGCTTCTTTGCTTTCGCACTGTAGCAGAGGTAGCACCTCCACCTTCTCTGTTGTGGCTGACGTGGCGGCTTCCCATTGCTTCCTTTGACTGCTGTTGTACTACAGCAGGTTTTTTCTTTTTCCTTTCTGCCTAACACTTCTTCTTCTCTCTTCATTTTGTGGTTCCTTCTGATGGGCCTTAGGTGTCTTGAACAAAGCAAACTAACCCAATAGTCAGATGTGAAAAAGATAATGTTAAATTTGCTCCAGGTCTACCTTAACTCCCACTTTCGGTATTGCTCTGGTCCACTATTCAAAACAGTTGCTCTATATGGAAAGAAGAAGGTTGAAGGGAGTGATTTATAACCAAAACATGGGTTTTGTGGAACAATTTACACTTAATGGGCCTCAACTCTTGAGGACCATCAGCCGTCTATTACTCCTCGTCAAGGGGAGAGTGAGGCTAGTCACCATACTACTGATCCTACTTATATTCCAGAACCTTCTGTTGACCCGAATTCTGTTGTTCAGACATCTGGGGTTGCTGAGCAAGTTGTGGATGATGCTGTTGATGAGCGAAGGCTCATATCTTTTAGAAAACACAAACCACCCGTATTTTTGGGGTCAAAGGACCCGAAGGAAGTTACCACATGGCTGAGAGGGACAGATAAGATATTACAGGTTATGAGGTACCAGGATCCTCAGAAATTATTGTACTCTGTGTATATGTTGGAGGGTGATGCCCACGAGTGGTGGTGCAATGTAACTCGCCCTTTTACTATTCCAGGTGAAGAGCTGATATGGGCCTTATTTGAAGGCTTGTTCCATGAAGAATATTTTCCCCGAGATATCTGGGAGGCAAAGCAAGGAGAGTTTGATAAGCTTGTACAAGGGTCGATGACAGTGGATGCCTACTTGGCTAAATTCAATGAGTTGGTAAAGTTTGCCAATTATGGGGGTACTCTACCTATGCCCGAGTTCTTATCTGCTAAGTTTCAAAGAGGGCTGAGTGAAAAGATTGCCAAGAGGATGTCAAATACGGCAGTGAGAAATTTGTTGTGTTAAGTGATCACAAAAATTTGAAATATTTATTTCATCAGAAAGAGCTGAATATGAGATAGCGGAGATGGGTGGAATTCTTAAAGGATTATGATTTTGAACTAAAATACCATCCGGGTAAAGCTAATGTCGTAGCAGATGCCTTGAGTAGGAAGTCTGTCAGCGTGTCCCAGCTGATGATGTGGGATAATGAAGTGATTGAGAAATTTTGGGATTTGAAATTGACGGATGTCTTTGCAGGTAGGATGGATGAAGTTGAGTGCTTTCAGATTGAAAATGAGTTACACGAGAAAATTAGAGAAACTCAGATACAGAACGACAGTATCAAGTATTTGAAAGAGCAGAGTGGTATATCTTTGAATGAACAAGGGTTATTAATGTATCAGGGCAGGATTGTTGTGCCCAAAGAGTTAGCAGAGGAGGTAATGGTTGAGGCCCATAAGGGTCAGTATGCTGTCTACCCAGGTGCCACAAAAAAGTATCAAGATTTAAAAGATAAATTCTGGTGGCCTGGGATGAAGAAGGATGTTGCTGAGTATGTATCAAGGTGCTTAATTTGTCAGAAAGTAAAAATAGAACATCAGAAACCCTATTGGTTTACTTCAGCCATTGGATATACCAGAGTGGAAATGGGAGAGCATCTCTATGGATTTTGTTGTTGGATTGCCCCGAACTCAGGCTGGTTATGATTCGATTTGGGTTTTTGTAGATAGACTTACAAAGTCAGCTCATTTTCTACTAGTACGAGTGGATTTCACCACGGAGCGGTTAGCAAAGTTGTATGTAAATGAGATTGTGAGGCTCCACGAGATACCGATTAGTATTATTAGTGATCGGGACCCGAAGTTTACTTCACGCTTTTGGGGAGCTTTGCAGCAGAATTTTGGCACTCAGCTCAGGCTGAGCACTGCGTATCACCCGCAAACTGATGGTCAGGCGAAAAGGACCATACAGACACTTGAGGATATGCTGAGAGCTTGCATACTGGAACAGGGTACTGCTTGGGACAAATATTTGTCATTGGTGGAATTTTCGTATAATAACAGCTTTTATTCCAGTCTGGGCATGGCACCGCATGAGGCATTGTATGGACGGAGATGTCGTACTCCTACTTGTTGGACTAAGGTAGGTGATAAAGAAAGGTTTAGTCCAGATTTTGTGCAAGAAACGACAGTGCAAATTGAAATGATCAGAGAAAAATTGAAACAGGCACAGAATCGACAGAAAAGCTATTATGATAATAAGCACAGACCGCTAGAGTTTGAAGAGGGTGACCATGTATTTGTACGGTTATCCCCGGTCACGGGTGTTGGCCGTGCTTTGGGTGTGAGGAAGCTAAGTCCTCGTTTCATTGGACCGTATCAGATTATGAAAAGAGTAGGATTGGTGGTCTATCAGCTTGCCTTGCCCCCACAATTGTCTAATATTGAAATCCAGGAGAACTTGAAAACTCCCATTGGTCCCATTGAGATACTGGACCGCAGCGAAAAAAGGCTGAGAAGTAAAATTATTCCCATGTTGAAGATTCAGTGGGAAGGTCGCACACCTGAAGAGGCTACTTGGGAGCAGGAGGATGAGATTCTCCAGCTGTATCCTAAGTTTGCGAACAGGTATGATTTAATTTTGCGGACAAAATTTCTAAAAGGAGGGGTGAATATAACACCTCGTATTTCTAATTACATATTTTTATGTGATAATGTTGATAAAAAAGGGTAGGTTTAGTGAAAATCCGAAAATTAGAGTCATAATACGTAGAAAGGGCAAAATGATAATTTACCAAACATGTATCCCTAGGCATAAAAAAATGAGTAGAAAGTCTCAAATGATAAAAATAAGGCCGAGTATGGATTTAGAACGAAAAATCGAGTGGGTAGGAAGTTTCGAAAAATTTAGGGAATAGTGATTTTTCCGGTGTAAAATACTACGGTATAATTGTACCAATAAGCGTAAAATCATGATCAGTATTTTTAGGAAATAAAAATATGACGTGAACGAGAAAAATACGTAGGTTATGAATTTATGGTTTAAATTAGGTGATTTATTAAAGTTAATTCGCATGTGGGACCCACCTATAGTCTTAAGTGACTTAAGTGACTTAGATTTCACAATTTCATCACATTCTCTCTCCTCCCTTTCTCTCCTCCGTCGAGCTCTCGCCATGGAAATGGGGTTTGAAGCTTTTGATTTTTCCAACTTAAATTCTAGCCACTTTTAGGGAGAACTCTAAACTACAAAGTTGTTAAGCATCACCTTGGGAGTGACTTTCCCCTTGAGAGCATCTTGTGGGTTGTAGTGTGTGAAGAGTTGTTCCTCCCTCTCCATATTTCGACCTAGGCTGTGTGTGGGGGCTTGAGGGCTTGAAATTCTTGCATTGGTGCTTGGAATCCACTCCTTAGGGCCTTGAGAGTCCATTGGTAGTAAGTATTCACAACTTCATTGGTTAAATTTGGAAATCATAAAATGGATGAAAGTTGGTTAAGTGTTGGTTGGTTGATGTAGTTGGGGGCTTTTAATGATGTTGCTCCTTTGTAAATTGTTGCTTGTAATGATGTATAATGATGATTGAACGAATAAAAATTATGGTGATGTATAATTTTGTAACTTAGTGAAAATTGGTGGAAAATGATGAAATGGTTGGTTGTGATCATGAAGGTGATGGTTGAGAATTAGTGATTGGTTGTTGGTATGAATAAATTGTAGGATGAGATGATGAGTTGATGTGTTAGTGAATAATTGGGGATGGGTGAGTAAGTTGTAGAGCAATGTGATTGAGATAGGTAACCTTGATGTTATGGGCCATTGGGTCTAGAGGATGGTGTTGAATTATATTATTATGAAATTGATGAATTGTTTGCATTTGATCATATAGGTTGCCTCACACGGACGCGATAGAAACGGACTAAGCTTGGAGCTTACGTGTGGAGCATTGCTCTTGTATTGAGGTAAACCTTTGGAACTTGGATTTAGTCCCTTGTGTGCTCCACCACACCTAGTGGAAGGTTGTTGTTGGATTTTGTGCATTTAGCATTGTGTGATTATGTACTTCATGCGTTATTTCTTATTTGTGTGTGAGATGTTTGTGGTCTCTGGGAAGTAGATGTGTATTGGTTTGGACTTCCGCTGGAGATATCCTTTGAGGATTCCGATCGGGTTTTGCCGTGGGGCCGACTCTGGGAGCGGTATCAGGATGATCCGAACGTGGGACTTCTGCTGCATAGGACTCATGAGGAGTTCCAGCTGGGTTTTGCCATGGGGTCATCTCATCCATGGGCGAGGCACCAGGAAGCTTTCCGGGAGTTATATGATGGGGTCCTTGAACGTAATCCTTATGTGAATGTTCTTGGATTTGTGCTCAGTTGTTGTGATTTTGTACGTCATGCATTTTTACATGATGTTATTGTTGCACATTGAGTGAGCCATGGGGTGGAGTGATCCTCTAGTACCCTTGGTTTACTGAGATATATTTATATATCTCACCCTGCGTTTGGGGACATCATTTCAGGTTCAGGTGAGCACGTTGGAGCTTCGGGCAAGAAGCCCACCTAGTGGGAGATAAAGTTGATGCATGAGATTCATATGTCATTTTGAGAGATTCCTGTATTTTGTTGACATTGATTGTGTAGAGGACTTAGTATATGAACATAGTATGGCACATAGTTGTATTTACCATGCTTTTGTTGTTCATATGTAATCCTAAGTCCATTGATTATTAGTTGTATTTTGGAATCCAATTGTATATGCCTCACTTTATCATTTTGGATGTGGGTGAGCATGGGGAATGTCCATGCCACTTAGATTATGCTTAAAAATTAGTTGTTGTAAAGAATATTTTGTGGAGGTTTATAATTGATGGAAGGATCAATGACATATTGAATGGATTGAAGTATAATGTGATGTAAGAATGTCTATTAGGTGTTAAGAGAATGGGAAAAGAGGGAGGAATTTCCTTAAGAAATTATATGAAAACAGGGGAGGCTTGTTGTGCCGAGCTGGAGAGCGTTTTAGCATTGAAATGGGCGCTAAAACGCACTATGTTCGTAGAATGGAGAAAAAGTCTCTGCCCTTAGGTGTTTTAACTCTAAAATGGGCGCTAAAATGCTCAAGTGGGCGTTTAAACGCTTGAGTTGGGCGCCAAAACGCTCTGGAGACCTAGAGAAGGCAAATTTATCTGCCTCTGGGCGTTTTAACGCTCAGTTGGGCGCCAAAACGCTAAACCCGAAAAATCAGCAAACGTAGTTTAGTAAAACGGGCATAACTTGAGCTACAGAGATCCAAATTGAGCGTGCTTTGAACCCACACGTAGCTAACGAAGAAACCTATAATATATTAATGAATGAGAAGCATTTGAGAGGTATAAAAAATTGTTAGAGTAAATAAAAACGCGAAGAAATTTAGTGTTAAACATGAATAGGATAGGTTTTAAGCTTTGTTGGTTTATGGGAACCACTTAGCATGTTTTAATGAAAGTTGCATGGTGTTAAGCTATGGAATTCATAATTCTGTAATAAGTTGTGAGTTATGATCACAGTTATTTTAAAGGTACAAATGATATTAAAAAGAAAAAGTTTTCCCGTAATTACAAATAACTACTGTGATTGTAATTGCGCTTAATATCATATTTGATGATAACACACCGGTCCGGTAACGGGGTGTTACATATAACAAGTTCCTCAAATTGAATATGAGATGAAGGAACATATGTGAGCTGAGGATGTGCTGTGCTTTCTTTCCACCACGCCATTTTGTTGAATAGCTTGAAAGAATAGGGCTCTATCCACATTGAGGATGTGTTGTGCTTTCTTTCCACCATGCCTTTTTGTTATGGACTTTGAACACAAGAAGTTTGGTAAATTACTCCTTTGTTTGCGTAAAATTCATGCATCATGAATTCAATGTCGTTATCACTGCGAATTACTTTGATCGAAATAGTAAACTGATTTTCAACCATCTAAAAGAAATTACAAAAATAATTCGTTGTTTCTTCTTTGTTTTGCATCGGAATTACC